AATTTTTAAGTAGATATATAATAAAAGAGAAAAAACTAAACAAAAGTCTACGTAAAAATGAGGTGGTTGCTGTAACAAGAATAATGAGCTGGTTATAGGGTTTATAAGAGGACTGGTCCACCTAAGGTTAAAGTGAATGAGGGAATCAATCATTTCAGGTAAATGGGATTGTGGCTTTAAATAGCCACTCCACCCCTGCACAGATTTCTATCACACCTGAAAATAATATAATCTTCAATTGCTGCAGAATTATTGGTGATTGACTGTACTAAATGTGTCTCTGACACAGCTAAAATATTTATGTTTTCATTACTATTTAAACTAGAATTTGTTTCTCAAAGTATTTACATGATTTACATGCTTTTTCTTTTTTTATGGCACTAGTGGCTCGTTTTTCGAAGTAGGCCTACATGAAACGGGGTATGAGAGAGACATGAGTGATTCTAATCCCTTTATTGGATAGTTTAGGCTGCATGTTTAAAACATACAACCTATGTCTGCATATTGATTACATTAATCCTAATCCCTGCTTTTATGCTTCAGAATCAAGAATGGAACCAAAGTATCCTCTGGCTATTGCTTCCTTTAGTGCAGGGAACAACTCCTTTTATTATTTTTTTTACTCTTTCAGATAAGTCTTCACTGATGTAGATGGATGAGCTCTTCCGCTGAAATCTAGACGGACTTAGTATCAGCTGCTTGTCTTTGAAACACAGCAGTTTTACAAGAATAGATCTTGTAATTTTCCTTTCTGAACTTCACATTTCTGTGGGCACTCTCAATCTTCACTGGAGCTCCTATTTTTAGCTTCCTAGTGATTAAATCTCTCTCTTTAGCTTCGGTTTCCTCCCAAGTTTCTTTGGCCTTACCTGGAAGAAGTCCACTGACTACGATGTAATTTATTCTAGACTGATTTTCCAAGTAGCCTGCTGCTCTTCATGTCTATTCATTTGTCAATGTCATTTTGATCGGCCTGTTGAGCAATAATTTCTTAGTTTTTTTGACTCATCAATATCATTAATAGCTCGTAACTGTCCTAAAAAGGAGTCCACTCTTTTCCTCGAAGAGTCTAAGATCACTTTGACAAAATTTACTAAAGGCACTCTCCTGCCTCTTAAACAGCCCTTCTTAGAACTCCTTTTGATGATCCAAACTGCAATTTATATTTGAGAAGCCTTTGAAAACACAAGTGACATAATGATATAATGTTTTCACTTTTATGCTCCAAAGTGTTGAAATATTATGCAGGCTTAACGGCAATAAACGTTTTTCATTGAGATTATTTTGGTAATGCTTCCTTTTACAGCACATCAGTAACCATGTAATAAGATTGTAATAACATAGCAAAGTTATACTATATTACTAGGTTACAAGAAAAAGTTATTGAGAATTTTGTAAGTACTGTGTTTCAAATTTTAGGCAGACAAGGTAAACTCAGTCATTTCTTCTACAGCAATAAATCAGTGTGTTATCATGTAGTAAAATGTAGTTTATTACTTGGCATATAACAGAAAACCAAACATAGAAGACAGCAAGCCAAACTTCATAACTAAACTGTTATTTATATGTAACTTGAGTTCAGTTTTATAATGCTTTATTTACCTAATCATACATTTCAATTTACTTTGTAATCTGATGTAGGTGGAGGCCAATAATAGAAACCGTCATGTTGTAGCCTAATGGTATTTACCCACCAAATGTCTCTATTGTTACATAGTAACATATAATTGTAATAATTACATGCCAGTAATAGCTTAATTTTTTCGTAATTTCCAAACAAAGTTTTTCTTGTTACAAAGTAAAAAAGTGTGACTTGCTATGTTATTACCCTATTCTTATATTGTCATTGATGTACTGTAAAAAGCCTTATCATTATTTTCTTATCTGAAAGGTGTTTTATTGCTGGGACTATTCAAATACCCTTCAGGTAGTTAATCAGGTAAACCCAATCACTAAAGAGGATTATTCCTCTGGAAAACTGTATAAACAAACATAGATGGACTGGGCGATATGGACTAAAAATAAAATCTCACTTTTTTAATTTTTTTTTAATTAAATTTACGATTTTTTCCCAATTTCCAAGGAAAGCAATAAATACAAACTGCAACTTAAGATAATTTAAAAAAAAATGAATTAGATAAAATTTTAAAAGACTAATAACTCAACTCCGACATTGAAATTGATAAAGTGTAAATTTAGCTTAAAAAAAAAAACTGTGACATCTGTGTCCCTGAATGTGTCACCTCTTATTTGAGATGCAAAACATGAAATCGGTGCTTAAGCTGCTATCAATGACATTTTAACATTTTTGCAAGGAAAACATAAAGGTTTTAATTGTATTAAGTAGTAATAAATCCTGTTTATTATTATTTTTGTCTATGGTTTACCATGTCTTTGTGCAAAGCCACTGCTTCTCTGCTTGTTTTTCTCCTGGCACCTTTCCTGGCATATTTTTGCTACAGTTAGCTGTTTATTGGTTAATGTGGGCTTGTTCGTCCTAGAGAGACCAGCCTTGTTCATAATCAGCCGGATGCTTCTGTTTTAGGTGTTGAAAAAATGTTGTGGTGCTGCTCCCTTTAATTGCGATAGCTTTTTCCGCAAATGTTGCAGCATCGGCTCTCTTGCTCCATGTATGTCGCAGCAAACCCAAACCTGTACAAAACAACAGATGATTTTATTCCTTTCTTGAACACAAGCTTTCCACTCTCCCCGGTAGCCAGGAGGTCATTTGTTGTTTTGTTTGATGCTGTTGTTTACCAAAGTGCAAAGTAAGAATAACACTAGAGCTACAGAAGCACTGGGGAGCCAAAAATGCTCGATTTACTTATTTTTTTTTGTTTTAATCTGCAACAAAAAACGTGAATAAATTAATTGAACCTATTTTTTTTTTTGCCCAGACCTATTATATAGCTATATTGAAGTTGTATTCATTACATTTTCTTTTATCTAAGAAAACTGATATCTTATCAGTTGTTGTTTTTTGTTTTGAACATATTTTTGTTTCCTGATCCACTTAAAGATCAACAGTCTCAGAGAAAATTACCTTAACAATATGTTTCTCCTTCACACTTATATGCTCTTCAGTTTTGTTATCTTTAGGCCAAGCTTATCAGATGAGTACAACTGAATGCCTTTATGCAACATGATGAAAGCAAACAATGTCCTGCAGGTGAATGAGTGTGATTTACGTTGTTATGCCACATAACCTGAATGACTCACAAATGTCAGACATACATGTCAGACAAAGAACTTTAAGTCAGTTACTTAACAGCAACATCAACTTCCTTCTCAGCCCTGACCTCTGTGTATGACTGAATTATATCTTTCTCTGCTTTTCATTAAATTATGATAGACTTTATAATTGCCTGTCACCAAAACACAATTTGTCCCTTTTTGTCTCCGTTAAATCTATCGAAAACACCGAAGCAGAGACACTTTCAAGGGGTGGCCAGACGCTTCAATGCTCGCCCACTTGTCAGAAAAATCTATTTTAATGCTAAATCTGCTAGGAATGCAAATCATTGTTGCCCTTTTTGAGTTTACGAAACTGATATGAAATAAAAATGTAAAGGCAGCTCTTTAAAGCATCTGCAAAGGGGGACTGAATGTAAATGCAAATGCTCTGTCATGATCTGCCCCGATAGCTGACCTTAATTGCTCAAGTCATTCACCTGCTTAACTCTGCCTGGTTCCTAATCACTCCTCATCCTATCCACCTACTGGCTCTGCTTTATATTCGGTTCAGTCCAGCTTTCGGGGAAAGATCATTGTTTGCTTTCTGTTTGTTTGGTTCATTTCTAAGGTTCATGTCTTTGTTTCTTGTCTCCAGTGGGTTTTGAGGTTTAGTGTTTGTCTTGTCATCTGATCCTGTCCTGGCCCTTCTCCTAGGAGCCCTCGGAACGTGGGAAAAGTTGGTTTTATTCCCGTAAGCCTGGCTCCCAGGAGGAGATCAGTTTGAAGTCCTACAGAATTCCTGGTACCACGTCTTGTCTCTCTGTTCTGACACACTGACCCTGCCTGTCTTCATCTGTGCATGTCTGTCTGGACACGCTTGTGGGCCGTGGAACCCTGAACCTGCCTGAATGCTCTGTGGGTTCCTTTAACCTGTATCTGTCCATTCCTGTGTGAATCGCAACCCCTGACCGGACTGCAGACCCTTGGATTCCAGAACTACTCCTGTCTGATCTGTTTCCCTAAACTGGATCGGAGTCCTGTCTGTTCACTGGGGTTGCACATTGGGGACACTCTGGGCGACTCAGGGCCGCATCTCGTTGACAGTGCATCGCACTGATCCTGAATATGATTGACAGGATGGACTGAACTGTTAAACCAGGTAAGTGACTCACTTGGATAATCATCTCCTGTCAGATCATCGTGGTTACTTTCCTGTGTTCCTCCAGAGTGTAAGTGATTGGGCGGTGCCCCGCCCCCCTCCTGCATCCACTGTGGGCTGCAGTTCCACAGCTCTGTGCTTCAGTTCTGTTTGTTTGTTTTGTTTTCATAAACATTTTGAACTTTCCTACTGACTGCCTTACCTTGAATACTGGGTCCATCTGTCCTGTTTTATGACACATTTAAGATTTTGATTTGTAAAAATGCTAATAACAGAAATTAGTTTCTATTAACTTTAGCGGCTTGCTTGTTTTTTGTCTAAATCTAAATTAATATACAAGTTGTTCTTATTCAGTAATATTGAATTATGCAACATTTGCATGTTTGTGTTAAATGTTTCCAGCTTCCCAGGTATGCATTTAGTAACCAGCTGGACCAGAATCTTTGATGCGGAAGTTAGAAAGCAACCAGCAATAGTGGGTTACTGCTGTCATCCGGTTAAAATGCACAAGATATGGTATAGCTTGACCCAAAACAATGCATTTTGGGTCAACAAATGAATAATGATACTGCAATAAGAATATTAATTCAATGAGAAAAAAAAAACTTTAGAGTGAAAATAAAAATGCTCAGTACAGAAGCTTTTTACATGAATTTGATCATTTATTTATAAAGTTGCAGACGCAGTTTTACTACAATTTGACTTGTTTAACTGTAAACATTGAATAAAAACATGATTCAAATCCACGTTAGTGTACATTTGGCTTGACATTTACATTTTTGATGATAAGTTCAGAAAATTGCTTTCTTTTGAAATACTTTGTGTGTAGGACCTTAAACCTTTTGCAGCAGGCCTAGCTTTATCTCTTTACCAATCAAAAGTCCAACAGCCTTTGTTTAGTGGTTGTGTTTTGCTTCTCTCCTGTCTTGGCAGGTCTTATCAACACCTTCATATTACATATAGGTGATGGATGACAAGTTTCCATCCCCTCCCTTCCTGCTGAGGACAGTTGAACTATTTCAATTCACACACGCTTCTCCTAACAGGGATTCCTGATGCTCTCTGTAATATCTCACCTTACTTACTTGGCTACGGCTACTTATTCTCCAAAAGGGGACACATAATATTAAGTTTATGTTACATAACTGACGTTTAAACCGACTATGTGTTTTTATGTAAGGATTTGTCTGTGATTACTCATCATCACTAAATAACTCTTCCGCACCACCGCCAGAGCCGACACTGTAAAACCTGGTGCGAGAAGTCTCTTCTTCATTACATGTTTTGCTGCAGGGCTTGCAGACACGCAGCAGTTTCTTGGGGTCAATGTGGTTGATTCGGGCTCGATCCTTGGAGCAATTGTTGCACACAACAAAGCCACACTTTCTGCAGTGGTGTCGCCGGTTTGTTGCGGTGAAGGTGATGAAACAGCGCATGCATTTCTGATCAGCCTGGTCAGGGATCCAGGATTTGGCAAAGTTGAGGTTTTGATTTGGGACTTGCCCCTTCAACAGGGAGCTCTGGCAAAGCTCGATGTGTGTCATCCAGGCTTTCTTCTCCTTGTAAGTGGGGGCAGAGAGGAAGAAGGACTTGCTAGGAGTACAGATCAGCCACATGTGCTTAAAGTCTTCATCATCCTCCATGTCCTCCAGCTTGATGTCCTCTGAAATGACAGTATTTATACAATCTTAATACACTGAACCATGATTAGTTTTTCTGTATCAGACAGTGTTTGCATTTGAGTGACTCACTTAAAGGGATGGTCTTCTGGTTCTTGTACCAGCGGTTGTTAACAATGATGCTGCCGTACACAAGGATATCGTTAAAAAGGAAGAAGGCTTTCTGCTCCCTCTTCTTGCGATTTTGCTTCGTCAGGATGCCTTCTCCCACTAGAATTCGATTTGGTTTGGAAAGTTTCTCCCCCGGTGGGCTAAAAGCATTCTCCACTTCCTTGATCCGCTTCAGGTTCTGAGTTTCAGTAGACAGTATGTCCATGGTGTTGATGTGTGTTTAGGAGCAGTGCAGCGTGGTTTGAGTGGTAACAGCAGATAGAGTGCAGAGCTTTATATTGGTACTTCCAACGTCACAAACGAGGAAGTTAAGCAGTAAAATAAAACAACAGGAAGGTGAAAATATTGAACACAGTCTTATGAAGGGACGTTTGAAGTTTCCCCTGAAACTAAATGCAAATTTGTCGAGTTCTCAACTATAATTAAAAACCTTGGCAGTCCCTGAGCTTTGAAAGGTATTTTTGCATATAGTATGTGGATGAAAAAATAACGCTAGAGCTCTACACCACCAAGGTTAGAGAGAACCTAAAATGATGCTTTATGAAATGATTATGATATAGGAAAATTTCACATTCAGTGTTTTAAAAGCATGTTTCGTCATCAAACTGTTGAAGTGACAAAGATTTAAGGACTTAACAACAGAAGATTTTGTTTCAATCAGAAAAGTAAAGATCTGCGTATTGGAGTATTTTTAACCATATAGGTTTTACACACTAATATGATGTTTGTTTCCTGCTATGCTCATTGCATTTGATTGCTAAATATAACCACAGAGTCCTTTAAAACAAGTCTCCTCATGTCTGCCAGCTATTAAAGTAGCTCCATCCTAGCAAAGGAGGCTAAAATGTTCCCTTTCCCTAATTATTTCCACAGGAAGGATCATAGAAGGTAAGGAATAAATATCTAAACAGTTACTGATTTCTGATTAAACAAATAATTTTATAGAATATACTTTTACCAAATACTGTTTCATGTATCTCTTGGATTTGCTTTGTGAATTGGAGCCTAGGTGGAAGTTAAACTGAATAAACTGATTACTCGCCTTCATCCGCCTACGACACAGCCAATCAGCTTTGAACCACCGCTCCACGAAAGCCAGTCAGCTTTCAAAGTTCATCTTAAAAGGCCTCAGATCCACAACACGTCTGCTACCTAGTGTGCAGACGGTGGTTTGCGCTGTGTGACTTAATTCAGATGACCCCGTTTCAACCCACCTCCAGCCCCCCCTCCACCATTGTAGCTAAAACTTCATCAGAGTGTCATTCTACCCGGACCCTTACTGTATTCCTCATCATTTCAACCGGTCCGACAGAAGACCGCCGTTTTGAGCCTTATTCTGCCAGAGGGATCTTCCCAATGGGGAGTTTTTCCTCTCCACTGTCGCTTCATGCTTGCTCATCATGGACAGGTTCTCTCAACCTGTGTTATTCAAATTGGACTTCCATCTTCCAGGTCCTTGAGTGAAGCTCTAGTATCAGCTCACGCAGTCCACTGGATCTCGCCATAAAGCTCAGCATACCGTCCCGCTAACCAGCAGTCTACAGACTGACCAACTTCATCTATCTCCACTCAACCACCAGTTTGGAGAGGGGGGGAAACAGCCCTGTTCTTTACTCCTGTTCTTGCATATCATTCAATATCTATGTTTCCTGCCGAGGTCTGAGCGCCAAAGACATTAATAAATTTCTTCTGATTGTCTTTTCTCTCTGTGTGACTTTTTCAGATTGATTTGGTTTAAACACATTCCAAATGCTCTAAATTGCTTAATTGACCTGATCCTAAAATATTTGCCTCTTAAACAAAAATAATGGGCTGCCTTCTTGGGGCTCCCTGGGAGCAGTGTGGGGTTAAGGGTCATGCTTAGAGACCCAGAGTGACAGTCTGTGGGAGGGGGGCTCGAACTCAGAACCTCAGGATTCCAAGCTCTATGCCCTAACCACTAGGCCGCTACTCCCTTCAACACTCCCCCCACATTGATCCACTGCATAATATTGTTATTTCAGATATTATTACTATTATGCAGTAAAGCTGCTGAAAGTGTAATTATTCAACTTTTTCTGTAAATATCAACGCATTAGTTATGGTATTTCAAATACAGGAGATCTGCATTATTTGCATTATACTGAAGAACTGTGGTCTGAGTCTGTTGACATCAGAGCAGGATATGAACATACAAGCAACCTGAGCCAAGCCCAGTTTTGGTTTCCTGCTCACACAAGTTTGTTTTGAACACATAAATTCCTTTACGACTTATCCGTGTAAAAATAGTTTCCTCTAAGCAATATTTTCACATCCTTTTAAAAAGGTTCCTGATAAAGTTTGAACCATTTTCCATTAAAGCTACAGTGTGTAATAATTACAGGGATATACAGTCAGAAATGTAATATAGTATACATAAATATGTTATTTATCATCATCTACAAGCTCAGCCTCTTAACCTTAATATTTGCGTTTCCTTAGAATTCGTTATTTATAATTACATAGGAGCGGGTCTCGCAGCCATGGAGGCAGACATCTTTGCGCTACGGCGGCACAGAGCCA